TGCCACCATTTCATCATCTTTATCTAGATTTGATGATTTCTTTGACCAAATATAGATGGTTACATGCCTGTCTTTCGAGTGAAGAGACTTTCAAATTATTTTAGAGGTGCAATCCTTCGTTTTATGGATTCAAAGTCCGAACCTTATTTTTTTCATTTTATTCGAAAAAAAAAAAATAAATGGTTACATTCATGAATTTCACGAGTACTACCTTCCACTAGCGTTGGTTACGGTTGGCACAGAAATTATGTTAATTATTGATTATAATATGAGTCGATAAAAATTCATATAGTCCAAAAAAAAATAAATTATTTTAAAATTTCGTCCTAAAGTATATTCCACAATTGTTGCTCATTTGTTAAAAACTTTTCATAAAAAAAAAAAAATTTAAGGTATCAATTTTATTTTTTATTAACCACTTTATTTTTTAAAATTATATTAAATTTTAATTAATTTAAAGTTAAATTAGATTTCACTTTATTTAAAAAAAATTTTCAATATTTATTTTTTTTATTTATAAAATTTAAATTCAATATATTATTTAAAAAAATTAAAACTTTTTTTCAGGCAATAAATCATTGGCTCGGCTTTTCATCATTTGGTCCTTGAGAAAATACCCAACCTGCATGGGGGCTGCTGAACGGGCGATTAACTGAAATGATATCTCTATTTAATCAACGACAGGTGCATGTGCTTGCACGAGTTAAAAGCACGTTTAACTCGTTTTTGATTTTGTCTTGATCACACCAATAGAGTTGTTGATCCCTTGGGCAATGCCCTATAAATACCAAAGCTCTCGAACTCTTTGGGGCACACAAAGTCCTTGAAACTAGCTATACAGCTTAGTGCTCGCATTTGGCATTTCAGGGTTCATCAAAGAGTTGAAAATATGTCAGCACAAGCATTAATGCTTAATCCCGCTTCGCCAAACAAGGAAACCTGGAAAAAGGACCGTCCAACAGCTAGTTATCATCCTTGCCTTTGGAAGGATCATTTTCTTACTCATTCTTCTGAGTTCCTGGTAATTAAATACAAATTAAGTATACACTTCTCTTATTTCATTAAAATCAAATTTATTTTGCTATTGCACTTTCAGTTCTGTGCTGCCCTTTGCCTAACTAATTTAGAATTCTGGGCCGCAAGGTGTTCGAGCTTTCTCCTTCAGTAAAGAAATTGAAGCAGTGTCATCTGCAGGATCTTTTTCCTCATCCAGGAATCACATCTTAGCATTTGTTATGTCACTTTACTCACTGATTAATGGAGTTTATCGTGTTGCATGCTTAGATATCTTTGAATTGTGCAGAAAAGTGATGCAACAGCTCAACAAGAATATGAACAACTCAAACAGGAAGTTAGAAGGATGCTCAATGACACCAGCAGTGATCGTCTGAAGAAGCTGCATTTAATTGACGCTGTCCAACTCTTAGGCGTTGATTACCATTTTGAGAGAGAGATAGATGATGAATTAGAAAGGATATCCCGTGATGGTGCTATTGACTCTGATCTTTACTCTGTTGCTCTTTGGTTCCGACTACTCAGGCAACAGGGAATAAATGTTCCGTCAGGTCAGTCCTTTCCCCTAACCTATAAAAGTGACAGACAGATACATAAGAATTACAACATTAGATTTGAAGGACATTTAATTGTTGTGACTATATAAATTATGATTACCCCTGAAATTGTTTTTGCTTTTATGGCAGAGGTATTTAAGAAGTTTCAGGATGAGAACGGAAAATTCAAGGCAGAGTTAGCTGATAATGTCCTTGGTATGTTGAACTTGTATGAGGCCGCTCATCTTGGCCTACCAGGAGAAGATATCCTCGATGAAGCCATTGCTTTCACAACATCTAAGCTTGAATCAATTTCAACTCAAGTAAGCCCTCAGCTTGCAGAACAAATAACCCGTGCCCTGAATCGACCCATTCGCAAAAACTTTCCAAGATTAGAAGCAAGGCATTACATCTCTCTATATTCTAGAGGTGATCATTTCAAATCCTCCAATGGAGCACTGCTAAGATTTGCAAAAATAGACTTCAACATGTTGCAAACATTTCACCAGAAAGAGCTGCGCAGCATTACTGAGTAAGTTCACAATTAATATGTGAGCTAGGTTGGCTTCATTTTGTACGTCGATGGTCTATATAAATTCTAGGCTTGACTTCTCTCTGTTTCAGATGGTGGAAAAAATTGGACTTCACAACAAAGTTGCCTTTTGCAAGGGATAGATTGGTAGAGTGCTATTTTTGGATAATGGATATCTACTTTGAGCCCAAATACGCTGTTGCAAGAATATTTTTGACCAAAGTACTGATATTAACGTCAGTCATGGATGATATTTTTGATAACTATGGGACCTATGATGAGCTCAAACTCTTGACCAAATGCATTGAAAGGTTAAATTTCTTGTTTTCAATCAATGGATCATCTTAATTTATATTAAATGTATTGAAAAATGTAGATGTTCTCGAAATGGAAATGAATAAGTTGCTCTAACTTGTTCCTCAGGTGGGATATTAGTGTCATAGATCAACTTCCAGACTACATGAAGTTGTTTTATCAGGCACTGTTAGACATTTACAGTGAAATTGAGAAGCAGGTTGCAAAGGAAGGCAGATCATATGCTGTACATTATGCAAAAGAATCGGTCAGACACTTCAAAATTGCTGGACCATTTTGTCTTCATAATTAGTACTTCAGCTTTGACATCTATATATTAAGCTTGTTAATTTTAACAGATGAAAGGAGTTGCCAAAGCTTACCTTGTTGAATCAAAATGGCGTGAAGAAGGATATATTGCACCGTTGGAGGAGTATATGAAGAATGGTCACTTTTCTTCTACTTATCCAATGCTCATAACAAATTCATATGTTGGTATGG